CACCATTTCAGCTATATGGGCGCACTGGGAGCAGCACCACGACAAGAATTTCACCTCGGTAGGCTGTACTTCATATCATTTCAGTTATTATTGATATTTATCATTTCAGTGGTCGACAAATTAATTATGACAGATGGAAGGTCCAAAACCATCTGGGAGGCCTCCGAAACATGGACAAAGCATACAGCCTCTCGTGCGTGAGTCGGTGTCAAGAATGAACAAGAGCGGAAAACCTGTTGCAGCACCACAGTTAGCACAGCGTCTTAAAGAAGAGCACAACATTGTGGTATCAGTGCGCTCACTACGTCGCGTGCTTAGGAGGATGGGAATGCGATTTATAAAAGGAAGGTCTCGCAATATTATGGCAGAAACGACGGCAAATGTTGCGTTCAGGGCGCAATATTTGAGAAAAAAAGTTTTAAACCTGAACAGACGCAATTTTCCAGTGCGCCCCGAGGTTTATCTCGACGAGACTTTTTGTAACCTGCACCATGTCGCCAATTTATCGTGGGTTGATGAGGACAAGCTGCGGTATACGAAGAGTGGTCGAGGTCCACGGTGAGTGTTTTATTTTGTTTTTGTAAATTAAAACCTTAACGTTATTTGTATTAAGAATTTATAACAATTATTTTATTTTTTGTTTTTAAAGGTTTTGCATTATAGCCGCTGGTATACTTCGGCGAGAAAAGAATGGATTAGTTGGTGAATTGGTCAAAGAATCGAAAGAGGTGTGGCAATCCAACTTAAAACGTAAGAACGATGACGATTATCATGGCAACTTCAACACCGAGCAGTTTGAGAAGTGGTTCACGAATCTGAGTGCTATTTTGGCGTCCAAGTATGGGCCATGTAACATACACATGGATGGGGCCAGCTATCACAAACGCCAAACGAACCCCACTCCAAATTCTGGCTCGCTAAAAAGAGATATGCAAGAGTGGCTGGAGGATAATGGTTTGTATAATGTTTTTTATTGTAGATTATTTTTTTAAACTAACGTTGTATTTTGTTATTTAGAAATTTGGTATGATTCTAGCTATACCAAAGCAGAATTAATGATACTTATTCGAGCGAACAAGCCGAAGCCAATATATAAGGCTACTGAGATTGCTAGTTTACATGGACACCTGGTGTACTATACACCTCCGTATCATCCTGAATTACAACCCATCGAGTTGATATGGGCGGATATTAAGGGCCGAATTGCCGACAATCCAGCATCAGATATGCCTGAGCTACGCTGTAAAATCTACGAAGGTTTTGCATCGCTCACGTCAGATACGTGGGTAAATGCATACACACACGCACAGAAATACGAGACAAAATATCTGCAGCAAGGTGATGAATGCGAAATTGCATCGGAACCAGAGGGCAGCAACGAGGACACGGAAGAGGATGACGCCGTCGATGACAATGAAGCTGTAGCCGATTAGGAATATGAACGGGTGACCCGTTGTATGTTCTTTACACTCTAGATATTCTTTTGACGGGTTCTTTTTAACAAGTTTATAATTTTCTAACAATCGTCAAATTGCGGTAATACTTGGAATTTATCCATCCGGTTCTGAAAATCCCCACCTGTTATCCCGGCTCTGCCAATGAATATGCATGCATGTTAGTACGTGCCAAGCCCACAATTGCAAACAATTCTGCAAGATATAGAGCCTTTTTTAAACGGCCGATTGGGAGATCAATGGTTGCAGATACGCAAAAATAGACCTCAAAATCGGAATCTACGCCCGATTTTACCCCTTATATCTAACTATCGTTATGGGTTTTGTGAAGGGAAGGGTTACCTTTTTTGGACCAAAGTTTGTCCAAGGTTTGGTGGCCGGGATAATAATTCACTATCACACGCCACCACCAAAATTGTCAGCGTTTTACGCTATTTGATCTAAAACATGCCGACATTATTTTGAAGAAAATGTTTTATTACTCTTACATCTTGCTGTTGAGGCATACATCGCAAAGTCAGCTAACTGAGTGTGAACGGCACCAAATCCCATTTATACACGCACTCAGATCGATGACAGAGAATTCTGGTACCGCACGTAAGTGACACGTCAATGAATGCTTAACCATTCAAATCTATTGGGAAACTTTCCTGCCACACCGAGTGCAACGCTCCCTATACTACTGTATACTAGTCTTGTGGAAAGCCGATCTAGATATCAGATGGCGTTTAATCGACACACGAAGATCAGCATCCCGCTCGCAAAGTAGAGTTCGATTGTGCCGAGTATCCACCCGTTCGTTGCCAGCAATATGATGATCAAATCACAGCCTCGATAATCTACCGGTATTGATAAGACAGGAACATCAACGTCGTTGATCGCCATTACACAAACT